TCTACTTTGAGGAGGCAGCTCTTCCCCAGTTGCATTTTGAGTGCTTTCCAACCTGAGAGGCTCATTTTCCAGCACTGTATCTGACAATGTTTCTCTGCTGTTCATAAGGTTTTCAGTGACTAAATATTCGGAGGTAGTTAATCACTCCTTCTACTTAGTCTGTGTCCATCTGGAAGCTCATCTGAAACCTTTCCACCATGGGTGACCCTGCTGGTATTTAAAATACCGGTGGCAAAGCTTTCAGAATCACAGCAACTCACAGCCACCACAGTAAGACAAACTGACAGATGAGTGGTGGTTCTGAAAATTAGCCATTGAGAACTCTGTGGACCACAACAGAATAAAATAATATGTAGCAATGAAATTGAACTAGAGCTCCTACATCATCAGCTAATGCATTGGTTTGATGGAAAAGGAAGTTTTAGGGAGTCAGTCTAGTTTTCGTTTGTGCAGGACAATAATTTATGTTGTTCAGGATTACATTTGAAGTAAAAGTATGTTAGTATACATGTGTACTCACATAATAACCAAATTTAAAAGAAAACTCAGAAGGGGGTTTTATCTGTAAAGTTATATTAAGTTGGCTGGTGGTTACGTAGTTTTTAGCGCCCTGGTTTTTTTTTAATATGCCCTGAAATGTACAGAAGCTTTTATTGGGCAGATTACTGGTGAATATTGAATAAGAACTCAGAGGAGGCTATGTGGGGCCCTGGGAACTTGAAATCATCCTATAATGTCCTTAGAAACAAATTTTATGGAAAGACCTAGGCTGGCTTTAAGAGATGGGCACTGGGTCAAGTGGATGGACTCAGATTGTGTGGTCATGAATGTGGGACAAGTAAACCGAGGAAGCCCAAATCCTGGTTAGTATATGGAAGGCATGTTTGTTTGTGTTCCTACTTTACAAGACAAGGAAAATTGCCCCTAGTATTTATCTCGCAAGCATCCTACTCATCAGGCCCTTGTGATCATCCTCATGAAGCTCTCCAATGAGTAAACACACCTTGGTAATTCATGGCGCTGTGTGGAATGAATAATGGCAATGGTGTTGTTAGTTCTATAGAGTCAGCTCTGTCTCCGGGCATTCCCATGGAAGGCAGAGTGAGATGGTGCCCCATTCTGCTCTGTATTGACCATCTGTATTGTGACCGTGTACATATTTGCTGCCATTGTGTATTTTGAGTGCTTTCCAACTTAGGGGGCTCATCCTCCTGCATAAATATTATTTAGGATAATATTCTGTTTTTATCTATAGGGATTTTATTGGCTAAGTTTCAGAAGTAGATTGCAAAGCCTTCCTTCCTAATGATCTTAGCCTTTGCTGAAACTTGTTCACCATAGGTGACTTGTTAGTGTTTGACATACTGGTGGCGTCTCTTTCAGCAACACACAAGTACTGCAGTACAGTAAACTGGCAGGTGGATGGTGGTAAAAAAATTCCTGATTTTATAGGGATGGACCTTGAGTAAAACCTCAGTGATTCTCAAACTCCCCAAACTTGATCTTTAGAATCACTTAAATAAATAAATAAATTCCATATTCTCTGTTCCTGCCCTTGGAAATGCTGAGTATTAACTTTGAAACAGGGCCTGGGGTGACCTCTACTTAGAAACAAAAGAAGAATGTCTCTCCCATGACTAGGTTGTTGTTGTTGTTGTTGTTAAGTGCCATCGAGTCGGTTCCGACCCATAGCGACCCTGTACAGGGTTTCCGAGGGTGTAAATCTTTACGGGAGTAGAAAACCTCATCTTTCTCCCGCGGAGCAGCTGGTAGTTTCGAACCGCTGACCTTAAGGTTCGCAGCCCGATTCGTAACCACTACGCTACCAGAGCTCCTTGGCAACTAGATTTAAAAATCACCAGGTTTTCTTTCCTGTTAATTTCTCTCCAGTTTACAAAACTTTGTAATAGTTCATATTATACGCTACAGTTTCAATTGTGAGATAATCTGCCACTTTGTTCCTTGCCAAACCATAAACCTTGGTTTCTCAAACCAGCACTTTTTGTGGTGAACTGTAGAGGTGTGGTGGTTCCTTCAGTTGAGGTTAGCAGCCCGATTCGTAATCACTGTGCTACCAGAGCTCCTTACTAAAGTGTCATGTAATGCAATTGGAACTGATCATCTCTTTACCAGCACTGGATTTGAATTCATTAGAGTTCTGAAGTAGTCATTGGCCTACGTTGACTAAAGTAGCAGCTCCCAGGAGCCCATATATATTCCTTCATTTGTCTGTGTCTAAAGCATAAGGAGCTCTGGTAGCGTAGTGGTTACGAATCAGGCCATGAGCCGCAAAGTCAGCAGTTTGAAACTACCAGCTGTTCCGCAGGAGAAAGATGAGGCATTCTGCTCCCGTAAAGCTTTACAGCCTCGGAAACTCTGTACAGGGTCGCTATGAGTTGGAACTGACTCCACGGCACACAACTACCACCACCACCAAAGCAAACATTTTTTTAAAATATCTTTTTTATGATTATACTTTAAAAAACAGAAACTACTTATAGTATCAGATTAAATATTAACAGTTAGTGGCTTTATTACCAACATTCAACAAGGACTCTTATCCTAGTTGATATTTGATCCTGGGCAAATGCATGGTCCTCTTCTGTAAACTTAGGAGTAAGGACTTGGCAAGCTGTAGTATTTTGTCTACTGAAATTCTCTGAGTCTGCCTCAGGTTGTTATGGTACTTGACAAAATGAATTCTGTTCCTTATGCTCAAGCCAAAGCAGTTTTTTATGAGTTTGTTCATTTTGAGAAAATACTTTCCATTCTGGCTGAGAAAGAGAAAATGCTTCATCTGTAAATGAATACTATTCTTCTCTTTATCACTGTAGCAATAAACATGATTTATAGTTTTCCTTGTACTTTCTAGGGTATTATAAATACTGTCTAATTTTAGAGAAATTTATTTAAAAATAATGTTTTGGACACAAAATTCCCTATAGATAGAATCTCAGTCATTCATATCCAGGTCAAGAGTGGTAATGTAGTGGAAGGAACATTTTGTATGTGCTTTGAGTTATCAGATGAATGACCTTGGGCAAGTCACATAACCTTGCTGAGTTTCAATTACATCGTTAATAAAAGTATAATATGTTTATCTGATATGCTTCTGTGAGAACAGCATGTAGAATGTTAGGGAATTAGATTATATATTCTGGCCCTAACAGGAACACAGCTCGGGTAATAGACTGGGTTAGCACATAATAACTAACAAGAGACTGTGAATCAGGGTTGTTAGAAGTGTGTTTGTTTTATGTAGGCCTCATACAAAGATGGAACTGCAAGTTACTGGACCCAACAACATTTTATTCTGTTATACATTATGTCTGTGAGTCAGAGGTGACTCGATGGCACCTAAAGTCCATGCATTCACTTTAAGTCATTTGGAAATGGGTTTTTTGAATAGAGATTGTATTAATAGTTAAAAAATTTAAAGGTGTAAGATTTTTTCACAAAGAAAAAGGGAGAATCCTAGTAGAATAGAGTCACAGTTTCTACTAAGCATCTCACATTCGGGCATGAAATACAGTAAATATTTTTATTTAGAGTATATTATATTCCCTGGACTCCTGGTGTGGTACTGTAGGATCAGCAATAGACTTCGAACCACAAGGTCAGCAGTTCAAACCTATCAGCTGCTCCTCAGAAACCCTATACAATAGGTGGGGAACATCCGGCTAGCAGGCTGTATGTTGTTGATAAGTGCCATCAAGTTGGTTCCAACTCACAGTAATCCTGTATAGGGTTTCCAAGGAGCAGTTAGTGGGTTTGAAATGTTGACCTTGTGTTTTACTCAGTGCTGATCCTGCAGCGCCAAAGAGGGCCATATTGTTAAGTGCCATCGAGTTGGTTCCGACCCATAGCAACCCTTTATAGGGTTTCCGAGAGCAGCTGATGAGTTTGAACCACCAACCTTGCAGTTACTGACGTCCCTTATGGTCCAGTGCTTATCCAACAGTACCAAACCAGGACCATATAAGGCCTTCAAAATCATTTGGTCTGGTCCTTCCAAGGCAACCGCAGTTCCAACCATCACATTGTTGTTATTGTTGTTAAGTGCCATCGAGTCAGTTCCAACCCATAGTGGCCCTGTATAGGGTTTCCGAGGAGCGGCTGGTGAGCTTGAACCACCGACCTTGCAGTGCAAATATTTTTGCAGTCTGGCGCATTAACCCTCAGCGCCACACTAGGACTCCAACCATCACATAGGTGAGTCAATTAAATGTTTGGCCAAATATAGCAAGCTAAATTGTAAGTTGATAGTACTTTATGGCCCATGGATGATGTTATACATTTTGAAGGGAAAAAACAAGGTTCCCCACCCCTGCAGTCCAGGGTTGCTATGAGTCATAACTGACTTGACGGCACTAACAACAACAGCCACTCTGTTACTGTTCTCTGTTACTGCTGGTAGATGATAAAGTTCTTTGTCTTCGTTTATCTCCATTATCTCTGTTTCAAAGTATATGGAGTAAAACCAGATTATCCTTTGGGGAATAACCTTATTAGAGTACAAAATTAATTATTAATGTAATAATAAATAACTGCAATAGGAGTGAGACCAATTTTTCTAACTAGAGAATCTTGAAACTTCAAGGACATGGTAATATATTATCATTATATATTTTGTATTATTGGAATCCTGGTGTGGTGCTGTGGGTTAATGTGTTGGACCGCAAAGTCAGTTTGACGGGCAAAGTTGGCAGTTCAAGCTCACCAGCCACTCCTTAGAAAGCCTATACAGGGTTGTTATGGGTTGGAACCAACTTGATAGCACTTAACAACAACATTATGTATTACCACACACACACATACACACACAATACATACTAGAGTTCCTGGTGTGGTACTGTAGGATCAGCACTGGACTGCAAACCACTAGGTTGGCAGTACAAGCCCACTAGCTGCTCATCAGAAATTCTATACAGGGTCGCTATGAGTCGAAACCAACTTGACGACACTTGCTTAAATGCTTTTTTATATTATTTTTCTTTAAGCCAAGGGAAGAGATGGTGTTAAGTGGAAAATATAAATCAGGGGAACAAATTCTTCGTCTGGCCAATGAGAGATTTGCTGTTCCAGAAATACTCTTTCATCCTTCTGATATAGGCATTCAAGAAATGGGAATTCCAGAAGCTATTGTTTACTCAATTCAAAACTTACCTGAAGGTATGTAAATATTTAACAATAAAATATTGAGGAATAATGACTTTTTTTTTTATCATAAGCTCTAAGAACCCTGTGTGGATGAACAGGACCAGGCAGTGTTTCATTCTGGTGTACGTTGGGTTGCGGCAACAAATGTGTGGCACCAAGCATTCTTCCCACAACCCTCTCTACTCCTCAGCTGGGTTCAATAATTCATTGCAATGGCCACACAGGACTCAGACATTACACTCACAGTTATGGAGTTTAATAGAGAATTAATAAGTTGGGGTCAGAAATGCTCAGTGCACAATTGTTTCAGTCAGCTGCTGATAAAGGCCCACAGGAGGGCTGATAAATGCCCTCCCCTGTAAGCCTCAGCCTGAAGGCCCTCAGCTCCAGCTCCATGGGTCAGCAAACCTAGCACCCCACTTAAATGTGCTTGGAGACACCCCACTCTACAAGCAAGCTTCCTGTCCAAAGTCACTCAGCTTTACTTGCTCTATGGGCTCTGTCTTGTGCTTTGGATCTTGATTCTGCTGCTGCTGCTTCTTTGCCACCCCTCTGGTGTCACAGCCTTCTGCCCCTGAGTCAAGGAGGTTCAGTGTGCAGGGATCTCGGGATCCAAAGGACACGCTCCACTCCTGGCTCTTCTGTGATGGTAGTGGGATCACTACCAGCTCCTACTGCTAAGATGGCTCATTTTAAACCCATGCTAGAATTTCAAGTTTTTACATTTACAGTGAACTGTGCTAGCATCCACAGCTGAATTCTGTCGTCCTATCCATATCTTCTCCCACCTTCTCTTGGCTAGACCTAGCAGGGCAGAGATGTTGTTTGTGGGAGTTACAGACTAGGGCTAGAAGAGACCTTAGATAGTTCACTAAACCACAGTGGTTATGAATTAGAACCAACTTGATGGCACCTGACAGCAACAACCAGGAACCTTAGAGAAACAATCGGTTTTTTCTAAATAGTTTCAGGCAAATCAAATCTGTTTCATTTGTGGATATTTCCAGATCCTGTGACGTAAAAAATGTTTAGCTTCATTGGGCACAGATTATAAATATGATAGAGGAAAATCATTATAATCCTTTTAAAATTAGTCTTTCATGAGTATTAGCTTGCGTATCTATTTAGAAAAGTTTTGAATTTAACCAAAACTTGATAGACTGGCTCATTCTTTCTGTTATGTTTGGATTCGCTTACAGGAAGTTAATTTTAATGAAACTGGAGTATAACACTTCACAGTAATTTCTGGGTTTTCCGGAAGCATATTTCTACTAAATGATGTTCTAGAATACCAGATACTTTCCTACCTTGAAAGTGTCTTCCTGGTTCTTTTGGAACACTTTTGACATTGGAGAAAATCTGACACAAGCAATGTGCTTTCCTCCTGTTGAAAAAAGATTAAAAAGTAACATTACCTTTCCATTTTTCACAACTATTTATATAAAATTCCACATTTTATATAAAGTTTTCTTCTAGAACATTACATTTTATACCACACTGCTTTTACTCGGTGTCGTGTCTTGAGACTGAGTGTAAAGATGAGGTGAACCGCATTCTTGTTTTGGTGAACAGAATCACATGGTAGGATGACCAGTACCAATGAATTCCTGACAGACATCACAGTGGAACATGGTGGCCTTTTAGTACTGGCTAACCTTATGGCACTTAATGTTTGCTCTCATGGGACTTCCTGAGTGTCCACACTTAGATCTTCGCTTTAAATGTTATTGTAGATTGTGTTTTTCACTCAAATGTAAGTGTTATACAGTAATTATGTCTGTCTCAATGAGATAACATGGATATATGAGCTCCTAAGTTAATCCTTCACCAAGAAGGCCTCCTTTTTATCCTACAGGCGGAGATCTGTGTTTTAGAGGAGAATGATTATCATCATCAATGTGTACTACTAGAAAGTTACTCATTTATATGTAGCTTGCATGTATATATGTAAGTGGCTAGTAATTTTATTCCCTTACCTTAACTTTTTGTTTTAAAGGTACATATCCATGAGTCCATATTCCACTCTATTTAATGTGTCTATTTGTGTAAACTGTAACTCATTACAGAATCTTAGAATTCTTAGATCTGAAAAATCAGTTTCCCAACTAGTAACTGTAATCACTCATTGCTTTTTACATGATTTCCCAGCCCCATCTTTTGAGAAAGATAAGTAAACAGATTTTCTAATGCCTGTTTTCCCCCCACTTCCCTTTTTTTCTTTTTAAGAAATGCAGCCGCATTTTTTTAAGAACATTGTTTTGACAGGAGGAAATTCCCTTTTCCCTGGATTTAGAGATCGGGTTTACTCAGAAGTTCGATGTCTCACTCCTACAGATTATGAGGTTTCTGTTGTGCTGCCAGAAAAGTAAGTACTGCTTTCTATAGAAATGAAGAACGGAAATAATTTGGCAGATGAAGTGGTCTGTGCCCTCGGCCATTAAGTCGATACTCCCCTATAACGACCTGTAGGACAGAGTAGAGCTACTCCGGAGGGTTTCTGAGGCTGTCCATCTTTACAGACAGAGACTGTCTCCTCTTCCTCCTTCAGAGCGGCTGCTGGCTGTGTACATCCAAACCATGCTGTTTTCATTGCCTCATCTGCATGTAAAAGCTGACATTGAATAAGGAAGATTGAAGAACTGATCCATTCGTATTAGACTATTGGCAAAAAGTATTGACTATACCATTGACTGCCAGAAGACTGATCAAATCTGTTATGAAAGAAGTATAACTGGAATGCTTTTAGAAATTAGGATGGAGAGATTTTCGTGCTAATCACATTGGACATGTTATTGTTGTTAGGTGCCGAGTCGACACCGACCCCTAGTGACCTTATGCACAGCAGAACGAAACACAGCCCGATCCTGGGCCAACCTCACTACAGTTGCCATGCTTGAATCCGTCAATGCTGCTACTTCGCCAATCCATCTAGCTGGGGGTTTCCTCCTTTTCTCTAACCCTCCACCTTACCAAGCATGATATCCTTCTCCAGCGACTGGTCCCTCCTGACATTATGTCCAAAATATAAGAGATGAAGTTTGACCATCTTGGCCTCCAAGGAGCACTCTAGCTGCACTTCTTCCAACACGGATCTGTTGGTTCTTTTGCCAGCCCATGGCACTTTCAGTATTCTCCTCCAACACCATAACTCAAAAGCATCAATTCTTCTACGGTCTTCCTTATTAACTGTCCAGCTTTCACATGCATATGAGGTTACTGAAAATACCATGGCTTGGGTCAGGTGCACCTTCGTCTTCAAGCTGACATCTTTGCTCTTCAACACTTGAAACAGGTCTTGTGCAGCAGATTTGCCTAATGCAATATGTTGTTTGATTTCTTGACTGCTGCTTCCATGAGTGTTGATAGTTGATCCAAGAAGAATGAAGTCCTTGACAACTTTAATCTTTTCTCCGTTGATAAGAATGTTGTTTATTGGTCCAGGGTTGAGGATTTTTGTTGTCTTGACATTGAGATATAATCCATACAAAAGGCTATGCTGTTTGATCTTCATCAGTAAATGTTTTAAGTCCTCTTCACTTTCAGCAAGCAAGGTTGTATCATCTGCATATCGCAGGTTGTTAATGAGTCTTCCTCCAATCCTGATGCCACGTTTTTCTTCATATAACCCAGGTTCTCAGATTGTTTGCTCAGCATACAGGTTGAATAAGTATGGTGAAAGAATACAAACCTTGTTGCACTCCTTTCTTCATTTTAAACCATTCAGTGTTCCCATGTTCTGTTCGAACAACTTTCCTCTTGATCCAGGTACAGATTCCTCATGAGCACACTTCAGTATTCTGGAATAAGGAATTAGTCCCTTGGAGAATGATATCATGCTTGATAAAGTTGAAGGTCAAAAAACAAAACGAAGAGCCTAGATAAATTGACACAGATCCACAGAATGGCAGCAACAATGGCTTCAAACCTAGCAGTGATTGTGAGGATGGAATAGGACCAGGCAGTGTTTTTTTATGTTATACATATGGTTGCTATGAGTCAGACCATAGCAACATAAACCAAACCCCAGTGTCATCAAGTCACTTCTTACTCATAGTGACCTTGTGTAGGGTTTATAAGACTAAATCTTTATGGGAGCAGACAACCTCATTTTCCTCTTGTGGGTCAACTGGCAATTTTGAACAATGGTTAATAGCCCATCACCTAACCCATAGTACCACCAGGGGGCTCCTTAACAACACTATAAGCAGTCTTGAATTTAAAGCCTTATTCTACCACATTAGCTGGTTTACTTCTATAGTGTCCTCATTTTCCTTCTCTGTAAAATGTAAATGATAAAACATATTCTCTTACCATATTTATTAAATCTGTATGCTGAGAAAATTATCCAAGAAGCTGGATTGTATGAAGAATGTGTCATCAGAATTGGAGGAAGACTCATTAACAATCTGAGATATGCAGATGATGCATCCCTGCTTGCTGAAAGCGAAGAGAACTTAAAATACTTACTGATGAAGATCAAAGACCACAGCCTTTGGTATAATTTGCACCTTAACTTAAGGAAACAAAAATCCTCACCACTGGATCAGTAAATAATATCCATATAAATGAGAAAGGATTGAAATTGTCAAAGACTTCATTTTGCTTGGACTCACAATCAACACTTAAGAAGCAGCAGTCAAGAAACCAAACGATGTATTGCATTAAAAGTGTTCAGGACTAAAGATGTCAATTTGAGGACTAAAGTGCACCTGTCCAAGTCATGGTATTTTCAGTAGCCTCATAAGCCTTTGAAAGTTGGACAATGAATAAGGAAGACTATAGAATTAATGCACTTGAGTTATGGTATTGGAGAAGAATATTAACGGTAACATGGACTGCCAGAAGAACAAATAAATCTATGTCAGAAGAAATATAGCCAGAATGCTCCTTAGAATTCAGGATGGTTGAGACTTGGTCTCTCATACTTTGGACATATTATTAGAAGAGACCAGTCCCTGGAGAAGGACCTCATGCTTGGTAAAGTGGAGTCAGTGAAAAAGAGGAAGACCACCAATGAGATGGAGTGATACTGTGGAAGCAGCAATGGGCTCAAGCTTAACAACAATTTTGAGGATGGTGCAGGACTGGGCAGTTTTTCATATTGTTGTCCATAGGGTTTCCATGAGTCAGGACCTACTGGACAGCACTTAATAATTAACATTTCAGTTAAGTATGTAAAATGCCAACTGTAATAGTTACTACATAATATGTACTAAGCTAGCATAAGAATTCTTTCATATAGTAAGTCAGTCTGCATTCCTAAGAGATTTTTAAGGCAAAGCTATCAGGTTATTACATCTCATTGATTTATTTGAGACATGTCATTTCTTGACAGTTTCTATCAACTATATAAATTTAAGAATTGAATCATTACAAGTTATGATAATTCATTGATTTTGGGGATTTTTTAAAATTATTTTTAAGTGAACATTTTTCCACTTAACTAGTCTTTTATTTCACCAACACTCATTTGTCAGTTTGTCACTGTGGTGGCTTGTGTGTGTTGCTGTGATGCTAGAAGTGATGGCACCAGTATTTAAAATACCAGCAGAGTCACCCATGGTGGTGACTAAGACAGGCAAGGAAAAAGGAGCGATGGACCACTTCTGAATGATTAGCATTGTCAGATTTAGTGCCGAAAGATGAGCCCCTAGAGTTGTAAGACATTCAAAATAAAATTAAGGAAGACCTGCTTCTTCAAAGTAGAGTTGACTTTAATGATAGGAATGGAGCAAAACTTCCAGACCTTCATTTACTGATTGGGCACAACTAAAATGAGACAAAAGAGATGCAAACATTCATTAGTAATTGAATCAAGGAATGTACAAAATATGAACCTAATAAAATTGGGTGTTTCTCTGCTGTTCATAAGGTTTTCAATGACTAAATATTCGGAAGTGGTTCGTCTCTCCTTCTTCCTAGTCTGTCTTTGTTTGGAAGCTCATCTGAAACCTGTCCACCATGGGTGATCCTGCTGGTATTTAAATACCCATGGCATAGCTTCCAGAATCACAGCAACTCACAAGCCACCACAGTATGACAAACTGACACACAAGTGGTGGCTTTGAATAGCAGAGAAACACTATCAGATATAGTGCCAGAAAACAAACCCCTTTAGGTTGGAAGGCATTCAAAATGTGACTGGGGAAGAGCTGCCTCCTAGAAGTAGAGTTGACCATGATGACATGTATGGAATAAAGCCCATGGGAGTAAAACCATTGGGACCTTCATTTGCTGATGGGGCACAACTCAACACGAAGAGAAACAAGTGGTCATCCATTAATAATCGGAACTTGGAATGTACAAAGTATGAAACTAGGAAAACTAGAAATTGTCAAAGATGTAATGGAACACATAAACATCGATATCTTATGCACTAGTGAGCTGAAATGGACTGGTATTGGCCATTTTGAATCTGACAACCACATGGTTTACTATGCAGGGAATGAAAAATTGAAGAGGGATGGTGTTGAATTCATCGTCAGAAAGAACATATCCAGATCAGTCATGAGGTACAATGCTATCTGTGATAGGATAATATC